CTGGTTGGACTCACTGTTTGCTCAGGGGGGAAAAGTCCTGTGCAGAATAAAGACCAGTAGAGCAGCCCCTTTTCCTCCTTTCTGGAAAAGCAAATGGATTTCTGGTTGGTTTGTGTGTGTGTGTGTAGCAGAGCTGGCACTGCACCCCCTTTCCCCAGCAGTGGGGAAGAAAAGCTTTGGCCTAACCTTTGTCACGTTATTTATTATTACTTTGCAGCCCCCTGCAAAATGAACTTTAGAAACTGGTGAGCCCGTGGTGTAAGGGTGAACACTGGGAAAGCCCAGGAATCAGCAAATCCATTGTGCTGCGCTGACAGAAAGATACTGTTACAACACACTTTAGCTGCCAACTTGCTGCAGTCACTCAATCCATCACGGTGGGCTGTGGGATCACAAGGCAGTGAAACTCAGCCTGGCGTGTTATTTTAGTCTTACATGGACTGTGAGATAAACGGGGCATGAACCAGCCCCCTGGCAGGGGGGCGACCCCCGGCGCCCTCATTAAAGTGCCAATCAAAAAGAGTAATGGAAGGGGGAAAGGAGAAGTTTTGGCTTCTTCAGCCTGGAGCTCCGACCCTGCAGCTCGCAGGAGCCAAGGGAAACAGCTCTGCTCTGCACAGCAGCCAGCACAGGCCTGCAGAGGTGTCTCCTCCCTGTGCTGAGGCTCACTCTGTGTCCTCCTTGTGGTGCAGACTCACTGCTGCTTGGGAAGGTGGTGCTGAGTGCACCTTGGAAAGGATGAGGATGTGACTTCTGTGGCTGCACAGGTTGTGCTGATCAGAGAATTCTAGGGGTTGGATCTTGTAGCTCATACAATCCTAACCTTCCTGCCATGGGTTGCATCATCAGTCAGTGATGTGTCTGTCAGAAATGGCTCATAGTTCACTATTTGGTGTGTGAAAGCAGCAGCACAACCTGCAGCAGTGCAGTTAGTTACCCTATGAGCCTGAGCTTGTTTGTGTGTGAAAAAGGATTCCTGGGTTCTTTGTGGGATATTTCAGCCTTCCACAATGTGCCAACCCTCAGCAAATCAATCCTGCAGGAACAAGATAATCTTTGGGTGAATAGACAGCTCAGACTGAGACACACACAGGGCTAAAGTGCCTGGCAGTGACTGGTGCTCACACAGGTCTGTGACCTCTGCTTTGACAATAATGGGGTTTGTCTTGGGGCCTGGCAGTGCCCCCAGCACTGCTGCTGCTGTGGGAATGGCTCTGTGATGTATAAACACATGTTCCTCTGCATGGTGACTCCCCTCTGGTGTGGGCCTGAAGGAGAGCTGGGAGCAAAGCAAGGGGAGTGAAGTTGGATGTGTAACGTGGAGTTCTGGTGTTTGAAATTGGGGAGCTCAAAGCAGGAGAGTTGGCTCTTAAACCTGTGTGTAAATGTCAGCTCTGGTGTGATCTCGGTGTGATTATGACCTTGGCAGCTGTTTATTTTTGCTCACAAGGTTTTAGCAGCAGCACAGAGTTTCTCCAGGTGGATACTGGTTTGGTTTCAAGTCTTGTTTTTTAAGGGCAGGCTCAGCAGTTGGAATTGGTGTAACTAGTGTCATGCTGCAAGAGCAACGAGTGACCACTGTGAGAATGGAATCTCAGTTTGTGCTGCCTCTGCACAATCCTTTGAAGAGTCGTAGTGCAACTGCTGTTACTCCACAAATAAAGATGTGTTCTGGCACAGAAGGTAGTGCTGAATGGAATCTTCACATTTCTGGGATGTTTACCTCAAATACTGTTCCCTCCATATTTGGAGATTAAAAGAAACCCTGGAAAAGGATGAATTGAAGGGTCTAGAATTGCACATTGGCAGAGAGGAGACACCACCAGTGGTGCTCCTGGTGCTGGAGCTGCTGTGTCAGGGCCTGGCCTGACCAAAACGAGGCTGGGGGAGAGTCTGGCCCTGCATGGTGGGTCACTATTTCAAATATTTCCATTTTTCCCCCCCCCAAACCTCCATGCAGACACACTCTTTTGGCTCCATCATTCTTTTGCTACCCAGTGGTTTGTACTGCTGCTCGTGGACTGTTTGCCAAAGGGCCTTGAAGCAACAGATTGGTTAGGACTGGTGAGTCACCCTCCCAGGGCAGAGCAAATGTTTGCTTTTCAGTGTCTGGAGGGCTGAGGGCTAGCTGCTATGATGGATTTCTCTTTGATTTGTTAGGATTCCTCTCCAGCTGCAGCATGCAGGGGACTTTTCTCGCTGGCGTTTTCAGAACCCATTGTTCTGCGGCTCCCGTACGCAGTCCTTGTCCTCTGGGTGACCCAGCCAGTTCTCCACAATGTAAATGCACACCAAAGCTGTTTACTTCTCCCATGGCCTCTCAGAGCTTTGGAGTCAGCCCAGAGCAGGCCTGAGGTAGGAGGCTGTTCTCATCCACTGCATGGTGTGGGCACAGGGCTCAGCTGTGAGAAACAAACCCAAACCACAGCCCAACACAGCCTGTAACACTGGGGCTGATGCACTGAGGCAACATCACTGCCCCCAGGCCCTCCCTGGAGTGACCCAATGCTGCTGGAACTGCAGTTTGCACCCACAGCAGTTGTGTTTCTAGCCTAGAATCAGCTGTGGTTCTACTGAGCAAAGTAGCAACAACAACAAAAAAAAACCCCAACAAACTGTTTTTCCCCTAGTGTTTGTCAGTGGTTAATGAATAACCTTTTCTTTCTGACAGGAATCCTGGTACCATTCTGCCCTCTCCTGCATCTGAGGCACATGGAGGGCACTGAGAGGACCCTGACTCGTGTACTCAGCTCGTGCTGGATCAGCCTCACATTCTTCCAGTCCAGAAACTGCTGCTGGAGAACCACAAAAAGTCTGTGGTTCAGCCAAACGGCTGTGTCCTCTGTGAACAAAACACATTCTCAGCCAGGTATGGTTCTGGCAGGATGGAGGCAGATGGTTTTGTGCTGCCCTGAGCCCTTTTTCAACACTCAGGCCACTGGGCAGCAGCCAGTGGCTGTAAGAAATGGGCTGTAAGAAGGTCAAACCAGTAACATGAGTGGGGAGTTGGAAGTGGTTTGTCCCAGCTCTACATTTGATAAAACTAAGGATCATCATAATGTGGAGTAGGAATGTGCTGTCAAGCCAGAATGCCAAGGCAATCCAGAATGGATTCTGAAGCTCAGGGCACATTGTTATTATCTGGTGTTTCAGAAAAATAAGACTGATTTTTCTTTCTAACAGGAACAGAGGAGTTTGGAGTATGTATCTACACACATTTGGGGTGGGTGTCTATAGTAAACAAGTGGTAGAGAAGCAAACACATACACAGTGTTACTCTTTGCTAGAAACCAAGTGTGTAAGTGGATTTTGGGTGACTTGACTTTTAATTAAAATGTGTTCTGAGTTTGTGTTTGTTTTCTCTTTCCAGTGCAGCAGCCTGGAAACTGGAGAGTGTATAGTCACTGAAACTGCCTTCCAGAGTCAGGTGTCAGAGGTGAAATCGTGGGGACCAGCAAATCAAGGTATGTTCCTCTGAGGAAAAACAGAGCACAGACCTAGAGGAGTTGTCACTGGAGGGAGGAGGTTGGTACCAAGCTGTGGTTTAAGGAGAAAAAGAAGTATATATTATACAGCTGAGCTAAGACCTTAGAAAGTATTTTATTGAAAATAGATAAATGTTGGAAAGCATCATGCAGTCTAGAAAATGAGATAGCAACTAGATCAAAAGGTCCTTGTCGCTGGGAAATGTATGATTATTTCTCTGGTTTGAGATGTGGCCCATTTAGCCACTTAGCTTCTCCCCACAAAAATGTAAGCACTGCACTTGTTTGGAAAACAGCTCTTGTGCCTGAAGCTGCTCAGATATATCTCCATGCTGATGGATTGGGAATCTGTTCCAGGGCAGGGAAGGATGTTGTTCACTATCTGCCTCATCCTCACCTCACTGCAGGCACAACTCATTGTACAGGCCCCGTTGGAAACAGAATTGTCCATGATCCAGGAATGCTGTTAATATAAAGAGGTGTCACTGTGAACATGCCACACTGACATGCAGAAGAACACAGAGAACTTCACCCTTGGCTTGTGTAAAGTGTCTAAAGTTATTGAGTTTCTCTTCTCCAATTACTTCTGTGACTTTAGAAAGTGATGACATTCCCTTTCTCAAGAGGCAGCAAGTGGACAGATAAGTTATCTCTGTCTTGTGGAGTGAGACTTGATGACACAGTCAGTTACTGGTGAGGGGTGTAGGGTTGTTTTCAGCAGGGACAGGGTGGCTGTGGCCCCTGGATGTTTGCACCCTTCCAGGAGCACTGCACTGAGTGCTGGGTCCCAGGGAGAAAGGACAGGGGAGGGGAGGAAAGACTGGAAATAGACTGGGAATAGAGGAGAGGAGAGGATGGGGAGAGGAGAGGAGAGGATGGGGAGAGGAGAGGAAAGTAAAAGGCAGGAGAGGACTAGGGAAGACAGGAAAGGAAATGGGACAAGAGCAGAGGAAAATACTAGTAAAACCCCAGGTCTGTGTGCACTTACCTGTACCAGTGAGTTAACTGAAAAAACCTCCACTAACCAACCCCAACCACTGCACCCTAACCCCAGTGATAGAGCTCCAACCCACAGGACACCTGTGCTCCAACGGCTAAAATGAACTCTTAGTTTTTAAATGTGTATCTACATTTCTGCACGGTAAAAATCAGCTTTCTCCAAGAAAAAAAAGACAGAGAGAGAAGGGCTCGTGTCAGGTAGTGCAGAGTGACTCAGTAGAGCTCCTTTAATGTCTTTACACAGTAAACAGACTCGTATGTACCCCAGCACCCACCTGCCCACTCGTATTTACAGGGACACTTGTACATATATACATGTTAGCAAAATACAGGACAATCTCCCAGAACCACAGCTGTGTCAGCTATACCTTTGTTATACACCTAGTGCTTAGAAAAGAACAGCCACCTCTCTTGGTTTTGCTAAATACTAAAATTTACTTTTCCCCCCTCTAGTCACACCATCCTGGCTCCAGCCTGGGGCTTGCAGCTCTCTCTGGCAGTGAGGAAGTGGATTTTTCAAGAGTCCAGCTCGAGTTGTTCTTGGTTTTCATTGAGTCTCAGCATCAGCTGCTGCTCATAATAAAGGCTCTTTGCATAGTTGATTTCTTGAGACAGCTTTACTGCCAGAGCTTCCGATTTCACTTTCACCTGCAGAAAGAAAGAGGATTTTTCTTAACGTGCTCCTGGCTGTCAGCTGAAGAAGAATAAATTTCTTCCCTGACTGAAAAGATGAGGCTCAAAGGAACAGAAATATTTCAGGGGAGATCTCTTCTCAGTGCTGGGGAAGAAGAGAGAGGGAGCACCAGGTGCACACAGACAGGTATGTAAGAGTGAGAGCAGTAACATCTTGCCCTAGCTGAGGTTATTTTCTTTGCTTCCCCTCCTATCTTTTATCTATCTGGTCTGTTTGGAATGTAAACTGGCTTGGGTCAGGGGTGAGGTTGTAACTGGGCCCATAAAACAATCCCTGAGCAACTACTGTAAGGGCACAGAAAGGCCTGAAATGGGTTTCAGAAGTGAGAGCCCTGATTAACTTCCACATGCCAGACAGACACTGTTTCCAATCTTAGAGACTCTGCAGTAAAAAAACACTTTGTGTGGGAGGAGACCAGAGTAAACAGACAGCAAAGGACTCCAGTTCCATTTATGCATGGTAAAGTTAAAACCTTTCACAGGTAAACATGTTTCCTCCTGTTATTTGTGTGCCTACAGCAATATTTTAGGGTTTGCCTTTCTTTAGCTTCTTCAGGAGTTCAGGGACCAACTCTTAGAGTCACTGAAACTTTCAGTGCTGCCAGAACAAAGCCTGTGCTGTTGTGCAGCTCAAGAAACCAAACCCTAATGACTACAAACACTTTGGGCACCATAAAAGGGAACAGAACCCCCAACCTGAGGTAAAGCTCACCATGGGTCTCTGCTGGGAGGGGCCTGGCATGGCTACCCCACTGCTCGTGTTCACTGCCTTCTTGGTCAGCTGGATGTAGACATTGCCATGGTCCTTGGAGACGAGGCAGTGGTAGAGATCATCATACTTGACCTCGAGGAAAATAGCCTCACGGTCTGTGTAGTCCCCACTCTTCAGGAAGTACACAGCTTTGGAGGAGATGAGAACACAGTAGCTGTCAATGTTCTCCACTGCTATGAAGCTGCAGCAAAAGAAAAAAGGGAAAATTATTAGCTTGAAGCTAAAAATAGCAAACTAACCAATGTCTTCACCTGTTCTGAGTGACCTTCAGAAGTCTGTCAGACAATGGAGTAGTGGAACATGTACAGTTCATCTGTGTTTGATTTAAACCCTTTAAAAGTGGAACTGATGAAGTAGCCTCTCACCTAGTTATAAAAAGATCATGCTGTAAATCAAATATTGTGCCTGGCTGCTAGCTTTGGGCATTACAGGGGCACATAAAACTGTCCTTTGACAAGGCTTAGGAAGAATAATTTCCTTGCAACTGGAGTCCTAATGCTGAAGCTAAATTGCAACTCATTTCAGTCCAGAGCTGATGCACGAAAGGTTTGCAGACATTTGTGACAAGAGCACTGGCCCTGCACACACTGTAACCCTCCTGTGCTTCCCTGCTCCCCACACCTCTCTGCCTTCAAAACAGAAAACAAGTTGGACCTGCTGCCAGGATCAGTAGCAGAAAGAGAAATTAGCTGTTTCACACGGGGTGAGAGGTTAAGCAGCAAGCAGGTTTCCCCAGGGAGATTAGGCTGAGTGATGAATAGGAAGAGGGAGAGAAGAGTGGGTTAGGCATATTGAGAGTTATGATGGCTGAAGAGACTGTGTAAAATCAGCCATAAGCAATGCAGAAGTGAAATGGATATTGGCACTCATACATGCTTCTCCCTCATTGCTGATTTACTACCACAATGATCCTCATTAGTGGGGTTTAAATGCTGAAAAAATTCAGCAACTTGAATGTGAAATGGTAACTGGATAGAGTAATGGAGTGCTAAACAGAGGAATAAAGCTCTGCCAGCAGCTCCCAGGGCTGAAGCACATCTGTAAAAGGAGGGTTCTCCTGCTGTCAGGCAGGTTCCCAACTGCTGCATTCCCAACCACTGCCTACACTGACCTGCCTGCTGCTGTCCTCACTGCACAGCACTCCCCTGGCTTGCAAATCCAGGATTTTAGCACTTTCTCTGGGAGACAGGAAAGCTTCCCATCTCCAAACCCACCCTGGGCCCTACCATTCCAGTAACACTGTGCACAAACTGCTCTGAGCTGGAGCCAAAGAAACCCAAAGCTATAAATGGAACGTGAATAGCCAAAAATACAGCGAGAGGTCAGGTCAGGGTTTGTTTTTGTGGTGGAAAAGGATAACGCCAGTGATTTTGTACTCTCAGTCATCTGAGGGACTGTTCTGCACTGAACTTGCTTTCTCCCTGCCCTGTGCCTGCTCACTCTGGGGCACTGGTGCTCTCACTCCCCTCACCACCAATTCCAGTTCCAACCTCCTTTGTCCTCTCAGTGTGGGAAGGGCACAGACAGCCCAGCAAACAAAGGGCCTGTGCTGTGCTTTGCCCAGCTCCAACTTTGGGCCAGGATAACTGAACTGTGCTCCTTTAAGTAAAACAAACTGGGGAAGAAGTGAGTCTCAGCTCAAAGGAGCTCAGGTGAAAGACAACATTCCCAGAGTTCCGGACCCCAGCAGCTGCCCTGCAGCTTTCCATGGCAGTTCAAACACTTCAGGGCAAGGTTCTGCCTTTGAAATTAGTTAAATAGGATGGAGAGTGACACTTTTTATGAAGTGTCACAGAAGACTTAATTTCAAGCCAGAGCAGCACTTGCAGCTGCAGAAGAACAGGCTGGAGCCCTGGGCAGGCACATCAAACAGCACAGAGACCCCAGTTCGAGGGGTCACACTGCCACCAGCAGCCTGAGAACATCCACAGGGACAAATCAGGCACCAACAGCTACTGCAGAGCCCAGGGGAAGCACCTGGGCAGTGGCACTGCAGGGCTGGGTCTGCTCTGTAAGAACAACACATGATGTATCTCCTGTTCCAACGAGACTTTTACTGGTGTCATGTATATATTGTGAGGGATGGAAACAGAGGTCACTGATTTAATGGAGAAGCCCAGAAACATTAGCTAATTTGTAGTTCAAGCTCTACATTTTGTTCTAAGTTTGAGTCATGCATCATTACCCCTTTGCTCTTGCCAACTGTTACTTTCTTCTGTGTGTCTGCTTCTCAAAATGGGTATATTTTTACCCTTTTCAGACACTACTGCAAGATAGAACTTCTTGAGTTTTTTTTTTTTAAACCCATACATCTACACTATTAAAAATATCTCAAATTAATAAAATGAAAAATTAAATGAAACATGATCCAGTAGAACAAAGTAGAAGCAACCAGATCTCTGGAGAATTTGTGGGTTTTTTAACAACATCAGGAAGTAATTACACAATATTTTCCAGAAGTGAAACAGCGAGCCTAACTGGAAAAAAATGTGGAAACATTTAGTTAGAACAGTAGAGCAAGGTATTAAACCCCCTTTTATGGATTTAACTCTGAAGGAAAAGATGCAAATAATCAGGTCTTTAAATGTGTTTCTGATTATGATACTAGGATAAAAGTCAGAGGCA